AAACCACTACCAGACGTTGTATACCGTTGTATTTATAATTTTATAATATTAATTTTTTTTGCCGGTCAATTCCTTCGAATAATCCATTCTTCTCCTTTAAATTCTTTGATTTTGTTTATTACCTCTCTTTCCTTAGGAATCTGAAAAACCTCGTAAGTTCTAGAAAATAAATGTTTCATGTGACTGAGAATTAAAAAAAAAACTGTCTAAATATTTGCCATAAGCTTCTTATCTAATTATCATCTTTAGAGAAAATAAAATAGAATCAAGGATTTTCAGATATTTAGTCTTTGAACCTTTCCTACCATGTATGCGACTTATGCTTTGGAAAAAACGCCTTAAGGTTTTCGATAGAGAAGTATCGGTCCATATTTTTCATATAATACTAAGAAAATTCGGCTCGAAGTAGGATGAGTCGTCCGTAAAAATTAAGAGTCAACTCGTAGCAAATACGAACAAACGGATCACTTTGAGGTTTAGCGAATCGTAGGTGGGAGGATTCTTTTACCTTTTAGATTTGAATTTGACTGAGTTTAGTGTAGGGAGCTATGAGGCGAAGGGATTTTCGGTGTGTGATAATTGAAAAGATGAACACATATTTCGGCTCGTTTGGCTTTGCTATTACGTTAAACTTTGAATCGGATAATGAGGACTGTTTTGAACTGAGAGTCATGGGTCAATAATAATTTTTTAAGTTTACGAAAAACCACCAAAACTATTTAGTTTATTTCTGTTATAAAATAAAGTTGACAAAAGAAATCAATTCATTTAGTTTTTGATTTACACAATTGGTGTCGGATTCTGAAGTTTTTTTTTTGGTGCGTCAAATTACGTTCCTTCATGTGGAGTGTTAAAACAGAACAATTTTCAAATCCTTTTAGTGACATTTTTAAACGTTCATAGCATCGCTTTTATATATGTTACAAAACAAAAATTGTTATCGTTTAGCAGAGAAAAAAGTGAAGTTTGAGATTTAAAAAAAAATATATTTGTATTCGGGCTTAAGGCGGACGTACATTGAGAGAATATAATTTGATGACAACGCTCAAAGCTCTTTTTACCAAAAATAAGCACTTTAAGAAATTCCTGGTAGTTAAAAATAATATTTGGATTCAGATAAATTATGTGAAATTTAGTAAACATATTTTAGACCTAAGGTTATCGAGAAAATATTAGTTTGACATTGTTTAAGTTCATCTTATATTCTACACAAGAATATTTGGCATAACTATTTCTACTCTTATTATCCTTTTTTTGTAACATTCTTAAAAATAGTATTTAAAATCATTTATTTGGATCGAAATATGGTTGTTCGAATTCAGTAGTCTTCAATTATTGTTGAATCAACACTGAATCATTTGATTCATATCAATACTTAACTTATTCCTCACAGTTAATATTCTGTAATGATAGCTTCAGACCAGACTGAAGAAAACTAACTAAATTACTAGATCGATTCAGAAGATCTAATGAATCTCATCATCAGTAATAGATTAAAAATTTCTTAATTGCTATTTATCATATCCCTCTTAAATTATACTTTGTGTCATTGTCGATTCTCTTGCAAATACACTTCCATTAATTCTCAGATTATCATTTTCACATCCCATGATACTGAAGAAAAAATTGTCATTTTAATTCACAAATTTGTTAACTATCGACAGACTATGCTGTAAATGAATGTTTATCTCTTGGTTAGGTAAGGGATTCCTATTATTTCTCATGGTTTTGTTCATTCTGAAATGTAGGTTTATTCTATCAAGTGGTAAAAACAAAATGCTTGCTGCTTTGAGGTTGATGATTTTGTCGGGCTATTTTGGGGGGTTTGGTTTTGGAGTGATCAAGTTTAATTTGAGCTGGCCTTTAAGTTAAAGTGAGGGTGGCTCTGGGAGTGAGGTCAAGGTTCCACGCCCATCTTGTCCCTCTCTCTTCCCCAACAGTTCCTTTGATGAAATTCTCCCTTTTTCTCTATTTACTATATTTTATATTAATATATTAAGTTTATCATATGGTGTATTTGCATAATTTTCTACATAGTTTTAACTTAAACTAAGATATATGTTTAAATAACTGTCCACCAATTATTAATCATGCATATAATATTATCTAAGTATCTCTATGAATTGTACCTAATCTGTACATTTACCTGAAACGTAATAGGTACTTGTTTCTAACGGTTATAACTTAAACAGTGTATAAGAAGTTCGATTCATTTACTTCACAATAAAATAAAAAATTGCCTTTATTAACTTTTAGCATTAACATCCTAAAAAAAATCTTATTTTATACTTTAGAATTTTAATTTTCAAGTCAATTCTAAAGCTTTGTTAAGAGAGCTTTACAGAATTACAAAATGGTACAGACCCCTTTTTATCAAATTATTAACATCCGGCTGAGACTTCGTGAATAGCTTCATCTCTTCGTAACTAATAAATATTTTATTTACGAAAACTCTTGGAATTGGGGCGTCTTCAATCTGAAGATCGGCAAACTTTGTCTGTTTAATTAGATACTAAAAACTCGCGAATATCCATTTCCTTTCCACTAGGATCGTAAGATAATACCATCACAAAATTGAGGAAAAACATGGCCCACAAAATTATTTTGACATGTTAAGGGTGTAGGTCACGCCGAACGGCTCAATATTTTTGAAGGTTTTTTTTCTATTTTGTGCTCAAATTATCTTACGATCCAAATGAAAAGCAAATGTGTGTTTACGAATTTTTAGTGCCTAATTAAATAGACAAAGTTCTCCGACCTCCAGATTGAACGCCCCAATTCTTTTTTTTTTTCCTATGCCGCTATGCCGTAGTAATTGGTCATTCGACCATCCGACATCTTGCTGCCTAGTATAAGTTTGATTTATTTATAAATTCATTCACAAATGTTTTATTCCTTATGTCCGTTAAAGCAGGACATTTGTCTAGGTGGTCTGCATGCATTTTCGCTTGTTCACACAATTTACACCTAGGATCCTCAGCCACGCCTATCTTGTGCAGATGACTTTATAGATAGTCGTGGCCAGTGGCCAGGCGGAAGCAGGCTACTGCATCCTTCTTGGTAGGTCAGCTGGGATCGGGTTTTCCACCAAACATACATAACGTCTCCCTTCCACATTGTCTCTGTCTATCTTCTTCACTACCGTCCTCACTATTCATCGAATTGAATCGTAAGATTTTGGATGGACTGTTTGAGGCAATTCAGCTCCTTTCCTGGCGAGACTACCTGCTTCCTCATTTCCTGGAATACCACAATGGCTCGGAATCCACTGTAGGACCACATTGATGCCTCGGACTGTTAGATCGTAGAGGAGGGATTTGCACTCCAAGATAGCACTCGACAGGTCTTTATTCACGTCAGTAATAGCGAGGATTGCTGCTTGCCAGTCGAAAAAGATAACAGCGCTCTGAACTTGCCTTCCTGATAGTGTTCTTAGAGCTATGAGGATCGCTGCTATCTCACCGTCGAAATTCGTACCATCCTCACCCACCGCAGCACTGAACTGAAACTCCCTCGAGTAAAAACCCCTGCCCCAGCATTTTTAACGCCTGTTTCAGCTGATCCATCGGTATTAATGTGAAGCCAATCTTGTTGAGGGTACTTTTGAGCATAGGTTCTTGTGCTATTGCTTTTTAGCTCCTAGTCTGGTGTTTCTTTTTTTATCCACCTTATGGAGGAGTTGCAGCTTTATCCTGCTTGCACGATTGTGTATTGGGAACTGTGCTTGAATAAATGGGTCCCTTTCTTCACAGATCAGCACTCCGTCCTTTCTCAAAGCTAATCCTTTGCCTTTAGCATGAATGATTCTTGTGTCTTGAGCCGTTGAGTCGGGATTTTGTATTTTTTCCAAAATTCTGGGTTTGTTCTTCTCATTCGCTCGTGAAGACACATTGCAGCTTGCTCCCGCCGTTTCGAAAGGGGTTCTGATGTGGTCTGCATTTCCATAGCTACAACAGGAGTTGAGCGCGGTGCGCCGAAAATTAAACGCAGTGCTTTGTTCTGCTGGCTGTTCAGTATTTTCAGGGATGCATTGTCACAATTCTGAGAATTTTCGTAAATAAAATATTTGCAGGTTATGATGAGATGAAGCTATTCACGAAATTACCATGGGCTACATGTTGTCACTCATTGGAACGGCTATTAAAAAGAGTCATGCATCAGAATTTAAACCTCTGATTTTTTTTTCTCTTGAAGAAATTGGGCCCTGGAATTGAATCTGAACAAAATAATTGATAATCTGATTGAGCAAGATTTGGCTCTGGTAGAAGTCTGATCACATGAAGATTGTTTGAATTTCCGTTTTTGATAAATATCTATCTTTATTTCAAAGTCAAAGATTTTCTTTGTGATTAACTAAATTAATAGGATATAATTTTTGGACCGGTCATTTTATTGCAGGCATATCTAGGGAAATATGTATTTTTATTAGTGAAGGTAATGGACGGTATATGATATATTGATACGGGATCGTCTAGGTAGCTAACCGTAAAATCCCTGAAATATTATAAATAAGATTATGGATAGTATGTGTTTTAGATTCGACAGTTAACAGACATGTAATGGGGCTGCGGTTGTCGGGTGTGTTAAAGATTTGTCTGATTTAACATTCTCTAACCTAGCTTCGCTGGTGGATTGAAATGCATCATCTAGCGAACCCACGGAATGAATCTCTCAACCTTCTCACTCTGGTTGTAATAGATTTGTTTGTACCATTCAACACCTCCCCTCCACAGAAATATCGAGGTAATGGGTAAACAGAAAAAAAGAAATACACGGAACTCGTTTGTCGTATGGTGGTGTTTAAGCCTGGCTGTCCACTGAAAATAGTCATTTGACCAAGCGAGGTACAGTTTCTATATGAATGCCAGATGAGCGGAAAGTGCGTTTATTGGAACTGCCATTCAGACAAATGAACTTTACTTTTACTAAGTATTTCGGTAAGACTAAACTGCATATTGTTTTGTAAGGCTGTTTACAAATACGAATATTGAAAAACATACCTCAGAATTCCGAGAAAACATAGTTTGATGAAGGCGATGACGCAGTAGCCCAGGACGAAGAGGAGATGGGCCGTCTGAGTTAGCCAGGCGAGTATCTTGAGCTCGCAGCGCTCCTGGAAGGCGATGCCGCCGTTGAAGCAGCGCACCGCCTCCTGCGTGGGCCTGGGGGTGGGCACCACGGAGGCGGGGGCGGTGGCCGGCGTGCTCGAGCTCACCCTCGAGAGGAAGTCCCTGCGGGCGGCCGCCACCGCCTCCGGCCTGTCCCCGCAGCAGCTGTCCGGCAGCTTCCCATCGCTACCGTAGTCACCTGCGAATTAAATCAAATATAAAATAATACTTATAAAAAAAAAATATTTAATAGAAGAATCTAAACCTTAAAGCTACGAATCTCTGACATTCAGTTGAACAGTTTACCTGCCAGGTTATCCAGGCTATCCACCTGTATGTTAGAGACTTATGGTTTCACTACCGGATCCAGAATTTAATTTTGAGGGGGAGGGGCTTCAGTCTGAAAGTTTTTTTTTTCATGTATATAATGATAATTAAGAAGAATACCTCACAGGGTTATGAGGGTATTGAGGGTCGACGGTGAGATTTTAGAGCAGGTGGAAATTTTCAAATACTTTGGTGCTCAACTCATCGAAAATGGATATATTGACGAGGAGGTAAGGCAGAGAATAGGAGCTGCTGGAAGAATGTTCGGCTCGGTTAGAAAAGGCTTTCTGAACCGAAAAGAGGTGAGCAAGGAAACGAAGATGACGGTCTACAGATCAGTTGTCCTTCCTATACTGACGTATTCTTCCGAGTCATGGACACTTACTTCAAAACACAGGAGCCAGATCCAGGCTCTAGAGATGCGATACCTGCGAAAGGTGGAGGAAAAGACTAGACGAGGCAGAATTCGCAATACTACAATCCGGGCCAATCTCGACGCCAAAGCGGTCGAAACCATAATATATGAACACAAGTTGAGATGGTTTGGGCACCTTCTCTGTATGGACCGGAACAGAGTCGCACGGAAGACGTATGAGACGCATGTAGGGTAGGTGACCAAGAGGAAGACCCAGAATCTCCTGGGAAGAAGGTGTGAAAGATGCATTCCAGAAGCGAGATTTGGAATGGAACAGGAGACGAGAGCTGGTACTGGAAAGGTCCACCTGGTCCAAGCTCTACAAGAAGCAACCTCACACTGCATAGGCGGTAAAGAGGAATAGGATTATGATGATGATGATAATGATAATTGCTTTGGAAAAAAATAGAAAGAAACTAACTACCTATATAAAGTGGTGTTTAAGTGATTCTTGAAGTCCTATTAAATAAAATTACACAAACAGTAATCATTTAAAAGATATTTTTTTTCAATAAAACATGGTTATATTCAACCATTTTGGTGGGGGGAGGGGGAATTCAGCCCGGAACATCCCTCTCCATCGTACATCTGCCTATTCATCAAGTTTGGATGTTTCTATTTATATCGTAATCACTGCGTGTCTCTTTTTGAGCAAATGTTTATTTTAATAAAATCATTTAGTGTAGTACTATCCTATATAAAAACCTAAAAAAAACCTGTACCACTACAATCCATGAAGAGTGCCCACTTTATAGAGGCTGGGTATGCTCCAGGAGGGTCTCCCGATCCCAGGGTCGATCCACGGCTAATGAAGAATTACTATTTATTAGTCGGATTCGAACCCAGGACCTTGAGCTCTGGAAGTCAGTGCTCACCCACTGAGCTACCCCGCTCCTCACTATCCTATATATTATTTCTAAAAGGTGTTTTCTTTGTCGGTACGCCATAACTTCGTCAATTCTTCATGAAATCCAATGATTGACCACTCATCTTTCTCCTTTACATGCGAAAAATAGTCCTATCTCCCGAAATTTCTGGGAAAAAGTTATGAAGGAAAAGAAACTTTATTTGCGAATAACTCAAAAAGTATGGATTTTTTTCATGTACCCATGATAATTTGAAATATTACTAAATTACGAAAAAAAAAAATCGTAAAAATAGGACAATTATTAACAAAGATACAGTCCATTACTTTTAGTATACTTGATAATGTCTTCCTCTTTAAAGTTATTGCATTTAGGAGTAGAATAGTCTACTAAACTTTTTTTCCTGGCTGATATATTCTGTTTGTTCTTACATTTTATTATTTTTAATAATTTAGAAAATCCCATGATCGCTGCATTATTTTGTCTTTTTACTTTTATTATCTTTCGTTTCAGCAAAGCAATTTGTACAAATATTTTGGTCTATTATGTTAAAATGGAATATTATAATCGACCAAGATAAAAATATTAATTCCTTTCTTACATAATACATTGGATCTACTTATTTATATATTGTTATTTATGTATTGTTTTTCTGTTTCTTCACTAAACAAAATACTCTGCGAATTATTCGCACTGGCCACCTAGTCATACTATAAAATCATTGTTTTATAGTACTGCTTAGTAGCAGATAAAATTAGAAACATAGGCGTCGATATGGGACAGTGGGGACGTGTTTACTCCAATATTTGAAATGGATTCATTCCCACTAATATTTTGAATGGTCCCATTCAAATTTTTATTGGCTAATGCAAAAGAATAAATAAGCTCATAATTATTATTGTAGCCGGGTATTCTTTTGTCTATAATCAATTCCTGTTAAGCCTGTGTTTACGCATTATCCGAACCATGGCGAGTGCGAGCGTTTAGAATGATATTTATACTTGGCTTGCGTGTATTTTCCCTTGTTTATGGCCAATCCATCAACACAAAGGGGAAATCAAACAGAGCTTTGCGGAAAGCGCCACACAATCACTATTGTTGCCCGGTATTTAAACATGAATTTGCGTTTCTGCTCGTTTTTCTATTTTTGTTTTTATTTTCAAAATATAAGTAGTTTAATTCATATTTTAAATCAAAACATTTTCTGTTATACAACACATACCTTACTGTCATTGAATTAGCAATGGTGTTTATGAGTTATTTGCCTTATTACAATGGTTTATCTAAACGATCTCTAAATTTTAGACTATAAGTCAAGCACAATGTATGAATAATATTACAAGAATTTAATGTAATATTACCCCTAAACGTTGGGTGTACTGGGGAAAAAAAATTAGGGAAATTCTTCCGCGATATGAAAAGATTTTTGTTAATTCTCCTTTTAGTTTCTGACAATGATAGGAGTATTTCCAATTCCATGAGATTTACTCATTATTGGAAGAAAGGGAATTATTCTACTAGAATTGTGTGTGAAATGTCTGTGCTAGTAGTTGAGTATTTGGAAATGTTTGTTTGCAGTATTTCAAAATTAACAATAACGTCTTGATGGCTGAACGTATTAAAGCGTAAACTTTAGCATCCTCGAGTCTTATGAAACCGGTTCGAAAACGGCGTTGGTGGTTAAAATTTATTTCGTGACGGAATGAATTTCGAACTTCCCACTCTGGTTAGAATTTGTTTGGTTGTACCTCCAGAGAAACTTATCGTATGCCCGAAATAGGGAGATACGGGTATTGAGGAAAACAAATTATAGACTTATTATAATTTCATATTCATATTCATATGAATTGGGCGAATTCGAATGGATGGTGAAGTATTATCTGTTGGTCAGTCAATATGTCAACAATTTTTTTGTAAATAATTTTTCAAATACTTTGGTACGTATTTGAAGAAGGCTTATTTTTGTTTTTTGGGGTGAAAAAATGTATCGTTGTTAGATGACTTTCGATGATAGAAATAATTTCCATTCAAGTACGGTCCTTAGTGACTAGCTAGGGTATTATTACGCTCGATTGCCTTAGATCGTGCTGTTAATATGGTACATATTACATTTTAAAAATATTTTTGTCTCTTCGTATTTTACTGCCCATCCATTTCTATAATTGTCGAAGGCTGTAAGGCAGTGAGTAGTGAGTTTCATGGATTCAGGGAAGTCCTGATTATCGTTCCCTAACTTAGCTTCGAATGGCTCTCAAAGTGGTTAAGAGAGAATCCCTGGGATTTCCAGGAATTCCACTTTGCCTGCCTTTTGGGGTTGAGGAAACCCGGTTTTAGAGATTTCCTGGCTGATTGTGAATTATCTGAAATTGATTATAAACGCGTTTTATTTCACGTATGTCTTTTTTTTTTACCTCTATTATTCATTAGGAAAAAATCTAATTTTACTCAAAACTTAAGCGTTAACTGGGCCAAAGACCGACAATAACTGATTTTGATGTCTAATATATTTGAATTTTCTATAACATCATCAGTTATATTATTAATCTAACAGGGAATGATTAAAGGAAGTTTATCGACTGTTCTACATATCATGGGTAATAAATATTCAGGACGTAGTCTCTATAAAGTTTTTTATTGGTGCCGATGTTTCAACCCAAACATGTGGGTCATCATCAGGGCTTGTTTCGAGCACTAATAGGGAATGGATATAAAAAGGGTGCTCTTACCAATATAGATATATAACTGTTTATGTAGTTTTTTTTTGTGTGTCATTCTTAATGTTTGTAATCATTAGCCAATAGCAGACAGAACATAATCCGAATAAATATTTGTAAATATTGTGAAAGATATTGTACTTTTTTTTAAACCTATTTTGTTTTGTAATGCAAGGTATTTTGTTGTAGGTTCTCTGTTTTATTTAAAAAAAAAAAAACTGAACAAAAATCTACCTTATTAAAATTTTTATAAGTTTCGTTATTTTAAATTTAATGAATTTATTTTTCTAAGTAGGTTTTGGGATATGAGTTTTAAAGTGAATTCTAATCAGCATTAACAATTTTTTGGGAAACATGAAAAACTATTTTTTCTTAAAATATAAAAACCAAAATTTTTTTCATATATAAATTAAGAAGTTCTTATTCGTAGCACATATTTTCAAATATATATATATATAGCATTTCCAAGTCAATTTCAACCTTTTCCAAATCAAATTCAACCTTTTCCAAGTCAAATTAAACCTTTTCCATTTCAAATTCAACCTTTTCCAAGTCAAATTCAACCTTTTCCATTTCAAATTCAACTTTAAAATTTTTGTCAATTTTCGAAATGAAGGCCACTTACTATATTATCGACGGCATAGCTTTTAAAAAATACAAAAAAAAAAATTGATTACGCAGTTGCATATCCATTTATTTTAACATTTTAGATTTTTTCAGTGTGATATTTCTATGTGATATTCAATTATTTCCAAGTCAAATTCAACCTTTTCCAAGTCAAATTCAACCTTTTCCAGATCAAATCAAACTTTTTCCAAGTCAATTCAACCATTTCCATTTCAAATTAAACCTTTTCCAATTCAAATTCAACCGTTTT